CTAAACAATTCAATAACTAAAATATTTTGTTGAAAATGTTCAGTTTAATTTTAAATCTTTTGGTTTTACATTTTTACTTCCATATATAGAATTTACTGTGCCAAAATTTATTTAAGGCTTTGTTAAAGTTATTGATTTTGGCTGACTTGACCACATTTTCAGGTAGGCCATTCCAGTCATTTACTAATTTCTGTTGAAGTAGTATTTTTTGACATCTTTTCTGCAAGGCCACTTAATCAACATCATACCATTTCCTCTTGTCGTCATGGTAGATACGTAGTCTGGTTTGATATCAACATCCAGTAGTCCATTAAGCAATTGATAATTTAATATTTTGTCTTCTCTTCCGCATTTGTAAACCAGTGGACCACCCTAGAAGCTTTAACCTGTCCTCATATTTTAATCCTCTGCAATGCAATGGTATTCTTGATACTCATTTCTGAACCCTTTTTAAGTGTTGAATTTGGTATTTTTTAAAAGGGCACCACACGAATACACCATATTCAAGAATTGACCTAACCATAGATTTATATTTATAAAAAAAGCAAAAAAGCTGCTATAGGTGCATTTTTTAAATTACGTTTTTCAAACCCACAATTCTGTGTGCTTTTCTAGCAGTCTGAAAAACATGATCATTGAAAATCAGCTAGAGTCTATATAATATATATTTATATAAGTATACCAAGATCCATATTTTTTTCTGTCTTAGTTAGTTAGGGGCATCCCACTACCACTACGATCAAAACTTTATATATCTGTGATACGTCCGGTGTTGTTATATGGCACAGAAACATGGCCAATGACAACCAAACTGGAACAACAACTTCAACGAACCGACATGAAGATGCTCCGATGGATGCAATGAATTACTCTAAAGGACCACATCAAACTTACCAAAATCCTGCATCGTGTTGGTTTAAATGATATAAAGGACGAATGCTGGCAACACCATCTGCGGTGGTTTGGTCATGTCAAACGAAGTGAAAACAGTGCCATAACTTCTCTTGCAAATGCTGAAGTACTTGGAACACATCCCAAAGGCCGTCCAAAGAAGTCCTGGTCACCCTCAATCTAGCAAGACATGAAAGCTCTAAATTTGAAAGTGGAATGGATACAACTGATCACCAAACGATTTTTTCACGTTTTTTAATAAAAAAAATTAAATAAAATTAAAGATTCAAAAGCTGGCAACCTATTTTCGTAAGAATATCAATTCACAAAAGTTATGACTGAAACAAAGTTAAAAAAACTAATAATATATAAAATTAAAAAATAATACAAAATGATTCATATTTTATTTATAATAATTAGGAAAATAACCAACTCATAATCTTTAAATACTTCTCCAGTAGCTTTGCAAACATAAACTTCATCATCCGGACCCAAATTTTCAGGCGGATCTTGGGCTATAAATCGAATCTTTCCCAAAAGAGGCATATTTTACGCTTTACGGCGATCAACATGGAGAAGAACAGCAAAAAAAATATACTCGTTTACTCATCAACATCATGATTTTAAAAAATATTTATAATAATTATAAATTGTAACTGAAAGCGGCATGCGAATAGCGCCAAATTTTAATTGACGAGTTGATTGGAACTGATTGCTTTTTATGACAGAATTGTTTTCTTGATCGCGGGTCGAAGCGAACGCTCACCTCGCATCACCGCCACATTTCCTGGCTATTATTTCAGATATTTTTACTAATAAATAAATGGCTTATAAGAAATTCTAATAGCAAATCGACCTAATTTTAAAACACTTCATTGGTCGAAAAACCGACATACATACAAAATAACAACCTATAAGTGATGGCTTGATTAAAGTTTCAGAAAGTGTATATTTGCATGGGCTAGCTGAAAATGTAACAATTTAATGCCACTCAACAAATAATTGAAGCCAGCAGAACCGAACTCGAACCGTACATATGACTGAACCGAACCCAAACTTTAAATATTTCCGAACCGAACCACACCTGAACTTATATATATATATATATATATATATATATATATATATATATATATATATATATATATATATATATATATATATATACTGAAGATATATTATTTTTAATTATATATAGGAGTCCTCATTCTTGTAGCAATAATAATACCAACATGATTTTAGTTTTGAAAGCATTTATGAAATTGCGTGGATTTAAATATATTGCAGGGGATTTTAATTTTCCCAGAATTGATTGGGGTACTTTATCAATCAATTCTGAAAGTAAGTCAATTGAGAAAATATTTGTGAATTTGGTGAAAAATTTGTTCTTGCATCAAGTTGTACAAGAACACACTAGGTTTAGATCTCTGCAGGCTAATCATATTCTAGATTTGATATTGGTAAAAGAATTAGATGAGATTAAAAATCTTGTTCACCTGCCCCCTCTTGGTAAAAATGACCACTGCATTCTGTGTTTTGAGGTGGGCTTGACCATTGATGGTGCTCATAAAATAATAGATAAAACCCGATTGAATTTTAACAAAGGCGATGAACAAGTACCTTCATAAAAATTTATACGGTATGCTTAATAATGAGTTGTCTGTGGCGGATCCAGGATCGTATGTAAACTCATTATGGTGTCACTTTTCAAGTGTAATAAACAGGGCAACTGAAGAACATATTTTTTTTATTATTATTATTCTTTAAAAATCAGGATCTGACAGGCGCAGAAACTGTAACAACATGCAAGGCAGTGAAACAAAAATTAAACAAATAAGTGAGAAAATAAATACAAAAAGTGAGGAAGAGAAATGATAAAACATGAAAATAAAATATGTTAGAATAAAATAAATAATAATAATACAAATAAAAGAAAAGTAATTGACGATGGAATATAAAATGAAGTAACGGCAAATTGATAGACTAGATGATGACTTAGTGGGTTAGTGAGGTGATCGATAGATAAAGGCTAGGCCTGTGTGTGAAAAAGTTTAATGATTATTAATATATTTGGTGACTTATTAATAGACTAAATGATGACTTAGTGAGTTAGTGAGGTGATCGATAAAAGTGAGGTGATCAATAAGTAAAAACTAGTTCAGTAATGATGAAGTTTTCTTAAGTGCTAATATGTTTGAGGTGTCTTGTGATGAAGGTCTTTTCCTGGTATGTAGATTGGGCGGCGACTTGATATTTATGTTCGCGCTGACGAAGGTTGTGTGTTGTAGTTTTGATTGGTGGTAGTAGAGGATGGATGACGTGGTTGTTGTTATTTTCTATTTTCTTGAACAGCCTTGAATCGAGTGTGTTGAATATCTGAGTGATGGTAGGATATGATGCAGGTAGGTAGTTGAAGCGAATTAATTTTTTGATGAGAGATTGTAGCTGCTGAAGTTGTTGTTGCGTGGCAAAACCAGACCAGGAGGGAGCTGCATATTTGATGCGTGAGATGATGAGTGATTCGGTGATGTCGAATAATTTGATGCCTCTGAGACCATGTGAGCAGAGTGTTTTGAGTGCGTGAAATGTTTGAAAGCCTTTTGTGATGATGTAATTGATATGAGGTGCTATATTGAGCGTGGAGGTGAATGTGATGCCTAATATTTTGTCGATTTGTGCGAGTAATTGATGGGTGTTCAGGAGGTAATGTTATTTTTTTACGGCTATTGTGAATGATGAGTTCAAATGATGTATTGAGATTAAGTGAAAGATTGCATCGTTTTGACCATGTGGTTAATGAGTCGAGTTCTGATTGGATGGTGTTTGAGCTAGATGATGGGATGATAAGGTAGGTGTCGTCAGCGTATTTGATGATTTGATTTGAGCTATGGAAAGTTTTGAGAGTAGAAGCGTTGATGATGAAGGTAGATGGGCCAAGGACAGAACCTTGAACTACGCTAGAGTTAATAGGTAGAGTAGATAAAAGAGTAGAGCTAAAAAGAGTAGAATGACTCCTATTAGATAAGAAATTAATTATGATATTGTAAATGTTGTCAGGTAATGGAAGAGAGGCCAACATTTATTCCGATAGTAAAAATGGGAAAGAACAGTTGTAAAGGTGAAATCAGTAAGTCGTTGCATGAATTGATAAAAATAAGGAAAAGATTATGGAAAAATACATGAAGGCTCGTGATTCTTTGATTTTTGAAGAAGTGAAGCTCATCAGGAAAAATATAAAGAAAGAATTAAATCTGTTTAGGGATCAGCAAGAATTAACTCTAATAAAAAAAATGAGAGATAATCCAAAAGTTTTTTGGCAACATATCAATAGAAAAAGAAAGAATAAACAGACGATTGATTGCTTAGTTGACAAGGATGCTAATGAAGATATGTTAATAACAAACAATCTGGACAAGGCAAATTGTTTGGGATCATTTTTCAGTTCAGTTTATATTGTTGATGTTGATAATGAGGGCATGGTACCAGACGTTGATATATTGCCAGATATTGAAAATGATACGTTTGTTAATGAACAACAGATAGCACAACGTATTAACAAACTTGCATTGAACAAATCAGCTGGACCAGATGGCTTACACAACAGAGTTTTGAAAGAATGTTGTTCTTCGATTAGCTTTTTTTGTGTCAACTTTTTAATGCTTCTTTGAGGTTTGGATTGATTCCGGACGCTTGGAGACACAGTATTGTTACGCCTATTTTCAAAAAAGAAGAAAAGACTGATAAACGCAATTACAGACCTGTTACTTTGAGTAGTGTTGTTTGTAAGCTGTTGGAGTCATTTGTCAAGGATGCGTTGATAAAACATTTTGAAGATAAAAAGTTGATGGACTACAGACAATATGGATTTACTAGGCAGAGGTCTACGGTCATACAACTTTTGAAAATTATGGACATATGGACGGAAGTATTGGATGAAGGTGGCATAGTTGATATATATTTTATACTAATTTTGAAAAGGCGTTTGACAAGGTATCACTAAAGATGCTTATTAAAAAGTTGGCGACGTATGGTGTCAGTAATGGGCTGATTAGATGGATACAAAATTATTTAAAAAATAGAACTTTTTCTCTAAAAGTAGAAGATCGTCTGTCAGAAAAATATCAGATTACCAGTGGTGTACCACAGGGGGTGTTCTTGGCCCTACGCTTTTCATTATTTGTGTTAACGATATGTTCAGTGTTTGCGGTGGAGACAATGATATAAACCTGTTTCTTTATGCAGATGATGCTAAAGTGTTTAAACCTATAAAGAAAGAAGAGGATGTGATTAGCTTGCCGAGATGTTTAGACAGAATTGTTGATTGGTGTAATGTTTGGAAGGTTAGTATTAACATAGATAAGTGTGTTGTTATGAGACTAGGGGGTAACGTAGATTTGGGCCTGGGTTACAATATTCAAAATAAGTATTTAGAAAGCAAGGAAGAAGTACGGGATTTGGGTATTTTATTTGATAGTAAATTGAAATTTACATCTCAAATATATGAATCAATCAACAAAGCAATTTTGATTCAAGGCATAATATACAAAAATTTACGTAATTTAAACAAATTTTCCTTCTTACAGTTGTACAAGGGTTTAGTCAGACCAAACTTGGAATATGCAGTGAGTGTCTAGAGACCGTGGACCATAAAAGAAATAAAAAATATCGAAAGTCCAGAAGAGGGCCACAAAAATAGTAAAGAATTGTTCCTATTTAAAGTATGAAGAAAGACTGAAACATCTTGATCTGCCCACATTGACATACCGTAGAAATAGAGGAGATATGATTCTACTTTTTAATATGTTGAAAAGTGAATCCGATGCTGGTCATCCTGTCATTGGAAAGGTGAACGACAACAGATCAAGAGGCCATAAATTAAAGCTCAAAGTTAAACCTTTCAATAAAAATCTAAGAAAGTATTGTTTTACAAATCGAGTCGTTAGATTGTAGAATGACCTTCCTGAAGATGTGGTGTGCTCTCGTAACATTGCTGAATTTAAGAAGAATCTTGACAATCATTGGATTAACATTCCTTGGAAATTTGAATATGATTGTTATAAATGGTAAACAGTAAATGTTGGACGTTATATGTTTGTTTAATTTATTATTAAACAATTGCTGAATGATTGCCATTAACTTCATTTTGTTTTTGGTTGTTTATTATAATTAAAAAATACTGTATATTTTTATTTCAATTTATATTATGATACTGTTATGTCACTGAAGTTTTTCTTTTATTTATTGTTTTATCTATTTAATTAATTATGTATCTGTTTGTCCCACTTCATGTTACGATTGTGTCTATACATATTGTATGTATGATGTGATGGGGTGTACACATATGTATCTGAGATAGTTTGTTTAATTATAGAATTTCTATTTAGGTATATTTATTTACTATTTATTTAATTTATTTTATTATTATTTTATTTTATGTGTAAGTATGTGCAATGAATTTGTGTATAGACAAGAATGTGTATAAGCAAACGAGTGTTTGGATGTATGTGTGAACTAAAAATATGTATATTGTTAGGTTAATATATAGTTATTGACATTTATTGGTTATTACTATACTTTTTAAAGTATTTATATGTATTTACAGTGTGTATAGACGTCTGGGTAGGTGTGCTTGTTAAGATTATTCATTATCAGTATTGTTTTATTATACGGGTGTGTGTGGATGTGATTTGTGTGTGATAGTATGTGTGGGTAACGTACATCTTTATTTTATTTAGAAATATATAAGTGAGTGTGTGTATTTTATTTAGAAGTATATAAGTGAGTATGTGTGTTTATTTCTGTTTTTGAAAAGTCATCATATATAATGATATTATAATAACATTTTATTTCATTTAGATATGGGCAGGGCATATGTTTATCGCGCCCATCATTTCTTTATGTTTATGTTTTATGTTTATAAGAAAGGTTAAGTTCCCATCTCTAAGAGATTACAGAGCAAAAATGCGTTTTACAGTGTAATGGCATAACTGTTTCCAGATCAACGTTCAGATCAACAAACGCTTCATTTCACTTCCTATGTGTAATTCAATGGTGAACATTGTTTTAATTTTCTAATCAAAATTAAAATTAAATAACAACAAAATCACAAAAACAAAATCAAAATTAATACGAGCCTGTGATAAGATTCAACAGGTTTGGTTAAAAATAATGAGCACAATTCGTGGAATTAAATTAATGTTCAACCGGGTCGTCACCGATCGAACTTCAAATTTAAAACGCATGCGTTCGAAAATAACATCAAAACGATCGTCAACTGTGACTATATTCACTAATTCTTTGTCAAATGTTAGTCGCAAGAGGCGGTGCAAACCCAGTTTGAGACTTAACCAGTTTAAAACTAAACATCTGACAAAAACATCCTAAGATAAAAAAAAACATTGTTCAATTATCATTAATGAACTTATAATGGAATTTTGTCAGAATGCTCTCTATTCTGGATTCCGGCTAACGTTTTGATCCAAAACTTTTAATGGTTGATCGTTAAAACGTGCCCTTTTGTTACGTGACATATAATTAATTAAAACATTGTTTAATGCCTTCAATTCTGGTCATGCGCCCTTAAAACAACTGCATTGGTAAATGTTAACAATCGCCAAACGCATCATGTTTTAAACGTGTATTCTAGTACCTACTTAAATGTACGAAAAACTGAGCACCAAAATGTTTGTCAAATAAATTTATGGCAAAAGCTTTGCAATCATTAAATTTACATTAATTTAAACTAAATTATCTATTTATTTGGTGTCTCAATGTAAAATAGTCTCTTAAACCAATAGTTTATTTTGAGTAAAATTTTTCAGTATTTAGGGCCTGTCAAAAACTTATTTGGTTCCGCCTTAACTATGCTATTCAAGTACAAGTAAGTTTATTGAAAGAAGGACTAATGAAAAAATTATCATAAATTTTCTAAAGTTTTTGGGCGGCGCTACGGTACAATGGTTGACAAGTTTGGCACCAAAGGGGAGGCCTATTTACCAATATACAACACTTTTTCATGGGTTGAATGAAGCAGGGATGTGCAAAGAACCTCAATTTTTTCAACTTTTAATTACTTTTGGTAATGTCGATATTATTTTTTTAAATGTATACCACATAAAAGTAATTAATTACCACATTGAATAACATTAAAAAAAATTAAAATTTTAGCATTTTGGATTAAAGCAATATTCCGAAATTTGAAAATATACAATCGTAACTTTTGACTCGAACGATAAAAAATTCACCCTACAAATCCCTTCCGGAAGTAAGCTCCTTGTTCGATCGCTAAGGCCGTTATATTTATTCTAGTTATGTGTTTGACACTCATGATAATGTTGCAGTGACTGAGTTAGGTCCCCGACTATCGAAAGTGTAGTTTGTGGTGCATTGATTTAAATGTATTAACATACATTGTTTGTTGCTGATGCCTTTGGAAAATACTCGAGAGAATATCCTCCGAGAAATGTTTAGGAGTGAAGTTGAATAAAGAAATAAGTAAATAATGCAATTAAACGTGTCCGTCCACTCACGTGTGCAACTGCTTAGATGAGTACGAACATCAGTATGTTGATCTAATTAAATTCTTTGGCATACCTCGCTCTTAGAATTACTTAATGACTTTTTCTTTAAAATCTTTCATTGCTTACAAATCTAGACCAACGTCAAGACTTGAGAATAATGTGAGTCAATGTCGCCAACCGCATATCTTGAATTCTTCAGTTTAATAAGCGTCAAAAAAGTATATTTCGGTAATGACTGATAAAAATAACAAATCACGTTATATTTTTAATTCTTTAATAAAGCACAACAATAATAAGAATTGGATGTTTGTTGACAATAAATAACAACGTAAAAATGTATTCATTTATGTATGCATCATAACAATAGTCATTATCGATTGTTAAATTTAGAAAACGAAAAGAACACAAAACCTGTATTTTACACAAATTACATAAACTTTTCTTAACTTGGCTTTGAATAGGACCGTTGTTTTAAAAATATTACGAACGCTAATATATTTCACGCCAAGTTATAGATTCAGTTTTCATATAAATTTGTATCCTGGTAAATTGTATAAAAAAATTGTTTAACAGCTGTGAAACGTAATTAAAAGCATTTCAAAGTCATAATGAGAAAACTATCAACATTGGATAGAAACAAGCATGATTTAAGTGCTGCGGTAGACATATATCACATGTCGTAGATACACATATTCTTTTTCAAATTAAAATTTTTTTGAATTGCATAGTTTAATATCCAGATCATTTCATACTTCACAAAAATTTAACCTTGGCTTTGCTGTCTAACGTTATTGTAACAGGTCCGTCATTCTGAATGTTAACAGACATAAGAGCACCAAACTTTCCATCTGCATTAAAATTACTTTTAAAATACGTGCACTTAAATGAGAGATAATACACAAACTAGAAACTATAAATTATAATTGTGACCAAGGGCAAGTCTCTCACATACACCAAAACATAACCAGCAAACATTATGGCTGCAACCAATATGCTAGATTTCATACAAAAGTGAAATGCAAGCTATATAAAAATTCTAAGACGATAAAGCAGAGAAAAACTTGTCTGATTCAGTCCTGATGAGAACAGAAAGCGGGCAGATGATACACAAAACAATGTTGTTATAATTGGCCGGTAGACGACGGGTTCGTTTTATCCCAATGGAAAATAGCGACAAGAAATAACTTTTGAACTATCATTTTATTTATTTACAAATCGATAATCAATATTAATCAATAATCAAGGTTAATTAATTTTACTATTATAGGTTAATGTTCAGAAACTATCAAAGTAACATTCAGAAACTATCGCTTTCCGACTTAAAATTCACTAACGTTGATCGCAAATACAATAAAAACACAGTCAAATATTAAATATCACTTTCTACAAAAACAATCAATCGCTTTCCACATAAAATATTCAACGTTCTATTCAATATCTCGCACGTCTTTATATACCCGTCTTATCGACGCGTCATGAACATACTCGCTACCAGAAGGTTCTAGTTCTTTCTTAAACTGGGTGCGTTCGTAGCAACACTTGCACCTCTAGCGAATACATTTGTGACGGTTATAACAAAACCCTCCTTTCAGTTCTGTTTGTCCCGCAAGGTCTGCGCAGAATGAGTCAGTCTGTCCAATCTCGTTGAAGCTTTGGAGACCGTCCTTTCTTTCGATATGGGTTATACAGCCATACCGAATCGTTAGCGTTAAATCCAGCAGTGTTTCCCTTTTGATCGTATCGGGTCTTGGTTACTTAGCTGTTCTTTTTCTACTTCAGGCGCATGTATTGGTGGATGCTACTTAACCGCTGACGGAAATTGTCCACAGTCTGTTATTGATTGTGGTGCTTCGTACTTCCAAAAAGGATCTTTGATGAAGTCTCCTCAGTGGTTGTGTGGATGGCAGGCACTCCGATATGCAATGAGGAACAGTGGTATTCGTCGATCCCGGTCTTTTTAGTTTTTGTCAACTACCTTGGCCAAATGTTCATTAACTGTTCAATTGAAACCTTCCACCATACCATCTGACAGAGAATGGAAAAAAGTCGTTCTTGTTTTCTTTATACCCAGTAATCGACACAGCTCACCAGACAGTTGCGACTCAAAATTTCGACCTTGGTCTGAGTGCAGCTCCATGGGAACACCATACCGACCGATCCAGTTTATTACAATCTCTCCAGCGACGGTACAAAACTCTTGATTTTGTGTCGGATACAATAATATAAAATAATCCGCTACAACCGGAATGTAACGGTTTCCATCATTCGATTCGGGAAATGGTCCGGTAATGTAGATAGAAATTCTTTAGAAGTCACACCAACATTATAAATTTGCATTTTCCATCGTAACCTCTTTTTGGAACCTTTAACTGCAGCGCATTTACTACATTTCAACACCAACTTTCCACATCTTTTCGAGCGTTAACCCAGTACTCACTCACGTATTCTATCAAGCGTATTCACTCATGAATTCAGTATAAACTCACGTATTCTGTCCAAGATGAGCCACCATGCGTTTCTTGAAAAATGTCAATGATTTTATTCCTAGGTACCACAATCTGTCGATTCCCATTTCCGTTTAAGCAACCCATCTTCCAAATGCCAGGAATCTCACTGAGCCGAATAGCATTTCAACATCAAATAAAACTCCGATATGTCTTGCTATTCAAACCGCTGACCTGATTTTTTCCACGCAATGACATATTGCAAATTTTCGTCTGAAAACTGCGCTAGCCAGTTCTTTTGGTACCCATTCCTCTATCTGCCGTAATTTTTCGTATATCTTCTGTTTGTACTTTTGTGCGACTGTAGTATTTGCAACCTGGTAAACAAGGTCGACGAGAAAGAGCATCAGCATAGTTGTGGGAGGTTCCTTTACGATTCATAATTTCAAAGTCGTACATTTGTAATCATTCCAACCATCGTGCCACATGTCCTTCTGATTCTTTGAAATTAAGCAACCACTTTAATGTTGCATGATCCGTTAGAAGAAGAAATTTTTGTCCGTAGAGGTACTTGTGGAAATTTTTTGTTGCCATGACTATTACTAGCAACTCCTTTTTGGTTACGCAGTAGTAACGTTCAGGATTTGTAAGACTTCTGCTGTAATAGACCAAAACTTTTTCTTCTCCGTCAAAAAATTTAAAAACACTTTTTTTTATTTATAAGCACAAAATCAATAAATCAATCAATCTTCGTTTAGGATCCAGAAACCCAGTTCCCCAAGGTGGGACGTTGTTTTCTTTGCCATCAACTTTTTGCGCCAAATTAGACGATCAGTTGTATCCATTTTATTTAAATTTAGAGCTTTCATGTCTTGCTCGATTGTTTGCGACCAGGACTTCTTCGGATCGCTTTTGGGACGTGTACCAGGTACTTCAACATCTGCAAGAGAAGTTATGGCACTGTTTCCACTTCATTTGACACGACCAAACCACAGCAGACGGTGTTGCCGGCATTCGTCCTTTATATCATCTAAACCAGCACGACGCAGGATTTCGGTAGATTTGATGTGGTCCTTCAAAGTAATTCGTTGCATCCATCGGAGCATCTACATGTCGGTTCGTTGAAGTTGTTGTTCCAGTTTGGTTGTCATTGGCCATGTTTCTGCACCATGTAGCAACACCGGATATATCACAGATTTATAAAGTCTTGATTGTAGTAGTAGTGGGGTGTCACGCCGCATCAATATAGAGGCAAGGAGATGCCATTTATTCGTATACATTTCCATCACAAGTCGAACAAGATATTCTGGAATGAGTTGTCGACGTAGACTCCACCTGATTGCTTCACGGGGAACTCGATCAAATGATTGTGTTCCAAAAATGTGTGATAATTGTTGATGCTTTGCGAGGTACTTCTCTTGCAGTTGCCGAAGGATGTGAATTGCATCAATTGTTGATTTCCTCGCTAGGAAACCAAATTGATAATTTCTGATTGTAATGTACGAGGTTAATCTTCTCTCAATGATTTTTTTCGACAATTTTTAGAGAGTGTTCTAACAGACGTACTAAAAAGAATGTAATTATTTTCTGAAGCACCCATGAAGCGTCTCAAAGCTGTTCCAATCACTGTATATTTCATTTTCAATCGATCAATCAATTGACCGATCATTCATTAATCAATTTTCTAACGCGCCATTTCCGCGACGCCCAACGGCGCTCCTCAGTAAATTTTACAAACAGATGGGTCTAGAAATCCGCTCTGAATTTCGTAAGTGATGAAGAAGAAGTTAGAAAAGGAGGTGGAGAGTTCCAGAAAAAAGGACCAAAACAAGCAAACCGGTGCAAATAAACAAGATATGGAGATGTATGAGAAAAGCAACTAAAACTAAATTGCATCTAAACTAGCAGCAGAGTTGAAAGCTTTATTTAAAAGATAGAGTGTAGAATCAGGAAGACCAAAATAGTGCGAGTTACTATAATCAATCCTAGATAAGAGCATATTACTCTTTTCTGCAAATAAATCAATTAGTTAGTAAATGCTATTCTTTCTGAAATCCTCAAATGCCTTGATGATTATGTTGATGATTTTATGACAGCATTCAAAAATCCCAAGATTGAATCCAAATAAAATGCAATATTCAAAAATAATTTGATTGGTCCTTTAAAAATGGTATTTTCTTTTCGAGTTCAAAAACCAAAGCCATCCTTTTTTCATAGAAGCGTAAAATTCTGTATCCCAAACTAAAATGTGGAGACATGGAAATTCAAATTGAAAACGAAATAAAATTCCTAGGTGTAATTTTTTGACGAAAAATTAAAATTTTTACCACATATTCAATGTAAAAAATCGTTGAATCAGGTTTAATTAATATATCTAATAAGTTCTTAAGAAATAATTTAGATTTAGACTTGAACATTAATGTGCAAAAACCCTTTCTCATTACAGATGGGGATCCAGGTAAACTTTTAATAATTTACAAAGCCAAGGTAAGATCAGTATTAGACTATGGCTTAATAGACCTCGGTGAAATTATAAATCTTAAATGAAAGCTTTGGACCCTCTGATAAACGGCACTTTAAGAAGATGCCTGGGAGTACACAGAACGTCTCCTTCAACATATATGCAAATTTTAAGAAAGGAAACGCCCCTGGATCTATGATGCATCAAGCTATCATTAAATTATTTTGTTAAAGCATCTTCTCTTAAATCAAATATTTGTAAAAGTAAGTTTTAAGGGGAAAACTTACATCGTATATAAAATCTTTATTCTTAATAAGACAGTGGATCAACTATTGTCAGCAAAATTTCAATATCAAAAACATAGCTAATTTTTGGTGGTGTTGTAACGAGTTGGTGATAGCCTGGGCAAAGGCAGAAATGAACAAACAGAATCATTATACCACAAAATTTGTGCAACCACTGTCTCGAACAAAGTAGAAATGTGCAAGTATGATCAATCAACCAATCCTCGTTTATAGTCTCCATCCGTTATGGGTAGGACTTTTTTATTCCATTCATCAGCTTCTGTCTCCAAGCCGATATATCTATTGCGCCTGTCTCCTTGAGTCCAAGTGCTTTCAAGTCCTCTGGTATGATCTGCGTCCAGGACTTTTTTTTAGGTAACCTCTTGGGCGGGTGCCAAGCACCTGGTGTTCAGTAACGGAAATTATTGTATCGTTTTCGCTTCGCTTCACATGGCCAAACCACCGAGGCGATGACGAAGACATGCATCCTTCAATGTGCACTGTCCAAATCGGTTCAGGATCTCGGTTGTATGGATATGGTCCCTTAGGTCAACAGGCTGCATCCAACAAATCATCTTCATGTCAGTTCGGTGAAGCTGCTGTTCGAGTTTTGTTGTTATCGGCCACGTCTCTGCACCATACATCAAAGCAGAACGTATAGCTGTTGTATAGCTCTGAGCGCAGCGGTAGAGGAATGCTACGCCACATCAGTACCGATGCAAGGAGGTGTCATCTGCTCCATGCCTCACGTATGCGTCCACGAACGGCGGCATCCATTAGCTGCTATATGAACATGAACACCGCATTATATATAGGAGGTTTTGCAGACAGCATAAACCAGGTCAGAGCGCTTTAACAACGAGGCCAATGGAGTTGATCACAGACGTAGTTACTAAAGTTGATGATTATATTGTATGGCTCTATTTAGTCTCATATCAAACATCTACTGTGTTTAATAAAGTTCAAATTAATTCCCTGAAATTAAAAGGAAGGATTTCAAAAAAAAAACATAGTTGAAACTTTAATAAAACTTTATTTTCCGAATGTTTCAAAGACAACTTAATTTATAACATTTTTACAAAATAACAAATAAAATTTTGATATGCATTAGGCCAATATAGAAGACATAAGTATCAGCCAATAAGCCTAAAAATAGAAATTTATTAATAATTTGATAAAAATTATATAGCTGAAAAATTACCTTTGACAAGGTTAGGTTTGTACTTCAATTTCAATTCGTTTATGAATTGATTGTAAAAACTTTCTGACTGTTCAGCATTCATTGATTGGTGAAAATCTAACTTGTTGCCTTTCAAAACTGTATACAAAGTGAACTGTTTTAAAAATTAAGATGAATAAAACTTCAACAACTAAAAAATCTTTACAATATAGAATGATCTCGATGAAATATCAAAGATGGTTCAATATAATTTTTTAAAATGAAAAAAAACAAGTAATGAAAAATTAAACCATGCACTTTTAAACATGAGATGTAGCAAGATGGTTAAAAAACTACCCACTACCTACTAAGGCAAATTCAATTACATTGAACATGTCATGCATACATTTCCTCACTTATCCAGTTGAAAATACTTTCAAATTTATTTTATATTCAAATCGTTGCTGTAAATTCAATTTTTAAATTTATAATGATTAACAATTTCTGTGTAATGAACAATTTTCTGCATTTTGAAAATTGGTGGTGAAGTTATAGAATTGATAAGTTGCGGCCACCTTTCGTCATCTTTCATCACTTTGAGTCTGAATAACAAATTAGATAATAGCGCACCATTATTCTTTTTAAAAGCTTTTATATAATGCTTTTTTAATAAACGTTATTAAAAGCACTTAAAATATCAAAGCTTGATCAACTTTGTTTACGTTTACGTGCGGCACGTTTTCTCGGTGGTTTTGTAATTTGGGTGGTTTCTTGTTTTTTGCTTCTGAACAAGTGATATCACTTTTTTTTACTACGATTATTTTTTTTCTATATCTTTTTCTATATCTTTCAAATATTATTGTCTTATTCTAGAGACCTTCTGCTAAGCCTTTCTAATATTCCTTTGTCTCCGAACGAGAGTGGTTTGGCGGCGAATCTTTTACTTTAATCTTAGGGCTAATAATAATAAGTGCAATAAATCTAACTCTAATACGACTAATAAAAAATGAATATAGTTTGCAACAATAGTAATACTAATAGCAAACTTAATAAACATAATAAATCCTACTCTAATGTAATTAATACTAATGATAAGAATAACAATTCTATTAATTTAAATAATAAAGCTAGATTTAAAAATAAAAATATTCAACCTACTTCTTTCTATATTCTCGCTATTTAATATTAACATAAGTTCTATTAATAAAAAATCGCTCTATATTCAGCAAATAATCTCTTTCTCCTTACCTGACTTTTTTTAGTCTTAATGAAACTTGGCACGAGGACTCTAACTCTCCCTCTTTTATTCTTGCTAATCCTGATGGTTACAGCTTTATTGAATTTTCTAGCCTCCAATAGATCTTCTCTCATCTTCTGATTCTTATGGGGGCGTCGGTCTATTCTATAAATCTCTATTTACTGCTTTCATTAATACTTCCTTTAATTTTTCTTCTTTTGAATGTATTGTTGTATCTTTTAATTCTTCTACTCTATCTTTTTATATTGCTGTAATCTATCGACCTCTTTCTTCTTCTCCCTCCATATTTTTAGATGAATTTTATTCACTCACTAAATCTCTCTACTCTTTTTCTATTCATTTCTATATCTCTAGTAACTTCTACTTGCACTTCAATAACTTATCATGTTTTTACATTCGTAGATTTAATGATATTTTGTCTCTTCAACTTAACACAATATTGTTCTTTTTCTACTTATACTTCTGGTAACACTATTGATTTTATTATAGTTTTATCTTTTTCTAAGCCTATTAATATCTCTGCTTGCTCTGTTTCTCATTCTGATCATCTCCTTATTGAATCTGTATTTTCTTTAAATTTTCTTCCGTCTGATTCATCTATGTCTATTTCTAAAAGGTGCTGATCTTCTCTCAATAAAGATATTTTTCTTCAATTTCTTACTAAAACTTTTTTTGATATTTCCTTAATTTTTGATGTTGATGATTTTGATTTTTAATATCTACATTACTTCTATTGTTGTTAAACTTATGCCTTTTAAATCTTTTACTTATAGGCTGTATTCTCGTAAGGCTTCTTAGTTCGACTATGCTTGTGTATTAGCTAAGAAAAAAAATTAAAAGACTGGAGAAAGCCTATAGGTTAAATCCATCTAACTCTTTTTATTCTATCTATGAATCTGAATTGATTAATTAAAAATATCTATTATTCTCTAAACACTCTACTTTTCTAAATACTATAATATCTGCTTCAACATCTCAAAATAGGTGGCCTGTTTATCTAAACTTCTTCATCAGAAATTCTTTCACTCATCTTTTTCTGCTCAAAAGTTCCATGACTTTTGGTAAATAAAATTAATTTTTTAAGAACATCTAATTTTAATTTTTCTCCTCATAACTTTACTAAACTTACTACTGAATCTATTTCTGTATTTACTCCTATAAATCTTCTAGAACTTACTTAAATTATTAATTCTATGTCATCTACAACTTATTCTCTAAATCTGCTTCCTTCTAATTTACTTAAAGAATTTTCTTCAATATTTTATCCTATCATTCTTAAATTAGTTAATTTATCTCTTTCCACCTCTAAATTTCCTACTTCTTATAAAAATTATATTGTTACTCCCATTCTTAAAAACTCATCTTTAGATCCTTCATCTTTATCTAATTATAGACCTGTTACTAACCCACAAACGCATAGTGTGTCTTTTAAATTCATTATAGAATTAGTCTTTGCCTTCAGTAAGAAGAAATTAATATGCAAACACAAACACCATTGAAAAAAAAAATTTAAAAAAGTATATTTATTGAAAAAAATTGGAAGAAGAGTGAATTTTGGATGTAGAACCCATACCAGTGTTTTCTGAAAATAAAGAATTTGAAAATTAATCTCCTCACATTCTGTTTCAATTATTTTTTGATGATGAAATAATCAAATTCATCACTGAGATGTCTAATTTATATGCTAGTCAGAAGCTGAAGCAGTTGAATGCCACTGAAGAAGAATAAAGTGACATTAGCAGTTTTGCTCATATCGGGCTATGCTCCCCTACCAAATCGACGAATGTATTGCAAACAAAGTAATAACGTTCATAATTTAGCTGTGTGTAATGCCATCAGTGTGAATCAATCAATCATCGTTTAGCGTCTAGAGGTCCAGTTCCCCGAGGTAGGACGTTGTTTTCTTTGCCATCAACTTTTTGCACCAAATTTGACGATCAGTTGAATCCATTTCATTTAAATTTAGAGCTTTCATGTCTTGCTCGATTGTTTGCGACCAGGACTTCTTTGGACGGCCTTTGGGACGTGTGCCAGGTACTTCAACATCTGCAAGAGAAGTTATGGCACTGTTTCCACTTTGCTTGACATGACCAAACCACCGTCCTTTATATCATCTAAACCAGCACGACGCAGGATTTCGGTAGATTTGATGAGGTCCTTTAAAGTAATTCATTGCATCCATCGGAGCATCTTCATGTCGGTTCGTTGAAATTGTTGTTCCAGTTTGGTGTCATTGGCAATGTTTCTGCACCATATAACAACACCGGACGTATCACAGTTTTATAAAGTCTTGACCGTAGTGGTAGTGGGATGTCACGCTGCATCAATATAGAGACAAGGAGATGCCATTTATTCCAGGCTGCACGTATGCGTACTCGAACGGCAGCTTCAGCTGTTCCAGCACAATCCAGATCATCCCCTAGATATTGAAACGATGTGACTTTCTCTACCTTAATGGCTTCAAAAACATTGCTAGTTCGTATTTGTTGTTGTGGATTGATGCAAGCAGGACATTCAAAATTGGACACTTTAGATTAAGTACCAATTATTTTTGAACAACGTTTGTGACACCACTGGTTACACTGCTGACATTAGATTGAACTGTTACCTACACCAGCTTTGCAAACTGAACATCGTCCAGTAGCTGTCAATTGGATTTTTAAAACATTGGCCAGAAAAAACTTGCTTATCAACTGACGAGTCCATGGTACCATATTTGGGTAGACATTCCTCTAAGCAATTTTTATGAGGTAAACCAATCCGATTCGGATTTAAAATTTGATGCATGATTAATCGTCTCGGTTATTTAATGAGTTGTGAACCACTTCAAGGAGCCACTGAAGATTATGATCCAGATTTAGGACTAAGTGGACCAATAGTTAAAAAACTGACAGCATGCCTTCCTGATGATAAATGATTTCATTTATTTTTGACAATTTTTTCACTTCGATCAAATTAATTGAACGACTAAAAAAAATCATATTTATGCAACTGGTACAGTTAGAGTAAATCATATAGGGAAATGTCCATTGATGGATATAAAAGAAATGAAAAATTACCTAGAGGCACATCTGACTATTTTGCAGATAGTGATTTAAATATTATTGCGGTTAGATGGGATGACAATAGTGTGGTCTCTATCTTGTCAAGCTGCAATGGGCTGGAACCAATGAAGGAAGTGAAAAGATGGTCTTCAGCAAACAAGAAACATATTTTAATATCTCAGTCATATATAATAAATCAATATAACAAATATATGGGTGGAACTGATAGGATAGATTAGAACATTGAAAATTTCCGGACCAATATTCGGATTAAAAAATGGTGGCCACTTTTTGCTTTCGCTTTGGATTCTAACCTTCATAATGCTTGGTGCATTTCCAAAAAATACTCAAAGCATGAAAATCACACTTAAGCTTGGTTCAGGAAAAATATTGCCAAAACAATATTAGGGCAAGACCAACCAGAAGATCTGAAAAAAAATAAGTAAACCTTAATGTTGAAAATGAAATAAAATTTGATGGAAAAGACCATTTTATTGGAAAAATTTTGGATGGACGAAAAAAATGTAAATTGTGCCACAAAAAAGTATCAAAGAAATGTGTAAAATGTGATGTTGCCCTACACTTGGAATGCTTTGAACATTTTCAGAGGAAATGATTTACCATGAGTATTAACTCATAATGCACCTTTGTAGAAACACTTTGTTTTTTATCATAACTTTTTTTATTTAAAAAAAATTTCATTTTAATAGGCTTTTTTGATGTTTTAATCCTACGCTAAATAAAATATTTCGAAGTCATAAAAAAATTTGAGTCATGCATTGGAGGGATAATATTATTTTCATCTCTAAAATAATAGAAAAAGTAGTTTATAATCAATTGTCATCTTATTTAAGCTCTAACTCTTTGCTACCTGTATCTCAATCTGGTTTCAGACCTGCTCACAGTACTGAAGTTTCTTTACTCAAATTACATAATGATATCCTTTTCTTTAGTGACAATAGCAATCTTACTCTTATTTTTGCTCTTGACTTTTCCTCTGCCTTTGATACTGTTGATCATACTATTCTCTTGAGGCTGCTAGATCTTTCTTTTAATGTTACTGATTCTTGTCTATCTTGGTTTTCTTCTTATCTCTGTAATTGTTTCTTTTCTGTTGTTTTCAATAATTCTTCTTCTAACTCCTCTACTCTTACTTTCGGGTTAGCTCAGGGATCTATCCTTGGCCCTCTTTTATTTATACTCTATACTTCTGATCTACCTCGTATGATTAATAATTTTTCTTTCACTAGTCAACTATTTGCAGATGACTCTTATATTTATACTTCTTTTCCTCCATCTAATCTCAATAGTGTTCTTCATAATCTATTTCCATGTCTTTCTTCAATTATCGCCTGGTCTGACTCTATATGTCTTAAACTTAATCCTTCTAAATTCGAAATAATTTATTTTTAATAAATCTAAACACTCTATTACTATTCCTCCTATTATCTTACCTAATTCTAGAACTCTTGATGTCTCTCACAAGTTTCGTAGTCTAGGCTTTATCTTTTATTCTAGCATGTCCCTTTCTTCTCAGATTAATAGTGTTGCTAAAAATTCTTACTTTCATCTACTTAGAATCAAAAATTTTTGCCTTTTCTACTCTTCTCCGTCTTGTTATTTCGTTAATTATATATATCTAGGATTGATTATAGCAACTCGCTCAACTATGGTCTTCCTGATTCCACACTCTATCCTTTAAGTAAAGCTTTTAACTCTGCTACTCGTCTAATTGCTCGTTTCCCTTTCTTTTCTCATATATCTCCATATCTTGTTCTCTTGCACTGGCTACCTATAAAAAATAGAATAATTTTTAAAATTTGCACATTTATGTATAAGTCTCAATCTAAATTATTTCCTAAGTACTTATCAGATACATCAATTAAACCTAAACGTCCAGATTTACGATCGTCTTCTTGTTCTCACTTCCTCTTAACTCGTATTAAACACTTTTTGCAAAATCTGCATGCTTTTTTTGGCCCTTTTCTCTGGAACTCTCTACCTTTTTCTCTGACTACTTTTCCATCACTTAAGAAGTTCAGAGCGGATCTCAAGACCCATCTGTTTGCAAAATTCATTGAGGAGCACTGTTGAACATCGCGGAAATAGCGCTTTATAAACTAATTGATTGATTGATTTGCAGCCATCTTCTTCCGTGTCAGGTATTTGATGTCTTAACATTATTTAGATTGTTGCTGCTGCCAAATTTCTAATTCCTAATACAGACAATCTCCTGTCATGAAGTTTCACTGACAAACTTTTCAAAACAAAGCAAAAATTCCGACTTCAATTTTAAGATATTTTTTATTCTTTAAAACGTCAGAATTTGACAGACGTAGAATCTGTTAAATCATGAGAGACAATATTATAAAATGAAAACAATAATTCCCGAGATGCATTTCAGATCTCAAAAAATTTTCATAAATTGAACAAACAAATTTCGGAAACTTTTCCTCCAAATCTCCTTCGTAAATTAATTCGCGAATGCACTCATTTCGCTTCCATGTCAATCGACATGTTCTACAAAATTCCTCGAATAAAATCAACCATGACTAATCATCATCATCAACAACAACTTCATGTTTGCACCACCCAGTTTTGCACATATTATCAGCAACATTCATTTACATAACTTATGTTCACTGTTTAACAAATTCATTCATACCAACAAGATGGAAGCCGGCACAATTCCTTTCTTACTAAAGTAAAATGTAATTCATCACCATTAGATTATCGTCCAATGTTAATCACACCTTTTTTACGTATTCTATAAAATTTATTGCTAGGTTATTCATCTATCCATGTTTCAATCATCATTCAATCAAATCACTACTACAAGATCAACACGCACTTCGCCTTACAGATTCATCTACATCTGCAACCATCTCTCTTAAAATAATTACCATGTTTACCTTGTTGCAACTGACTTACCGAATGCTTTTGATACTCTAAAAAAATCAATTTTTCTCTTTATAATAATTTACCTTCTTCTCCTTTAGATGAAAACATCTACAATATATAATGTTACAAATAGGAGTTTTCTACTTATATCTGTTTTAAATTATCACCCATTTATCAATTAATTCTAACGTAATTTAATGATTAGTCTTTGGACCTTCAATTGTTATCATTTTAGCATCCGCTTTCAAAACTCGCCATTACTTTAATACAATCGTTAAATATGCGGACGCGGCTCATCTTATCATTCTATCATCTAACACAAACACCATCTTATCGGTATTGAATTTATTAGTTATATAATCAAAACAATGCAATATCTCACCTAATTTCAATAAATTAATCAAACTCATAATTCCTAACACAAAATAACATTACCCCCAAGAACAAATCACTTGTAAACATCAATTAAAAATGGCAATGATATTCATCTCCACACCCAACATAAAATGATTCAGATAGTTTTGAATGCTTTAGAAGTCAAAAATGATAAGATGAACAAGTTTTGAACAAGAACATATCACAAAAGGACTCCAAACATTTCTCATTGCTCACGTGGTCTCAAAGGTATAAAATTATTTGACATCGCAGAATCACTTATCAGTTTACACATCAAATATGTACCTTCTTCCTAGTCCGGCTTCGTTACGCAACTTCAACAACAACAATCTCTCATCAAAAAATTAATTCGCTTCAACCATTGACCTCCATCATACTGGATTTTAGATTATTAAGGAAAATAGAAACAAATACAAATCCTGTCATCCACTTTCTATTGATACCTGTCAAATCTATCACCGAAAATCTTCGTTGACGCGAATATACATATAAAAGCACCACTCAGTCAAGTCATCAAGGCGCTTTATAAAATGACATTGTTATTATTTGTAGTAGTAGTAATAGTAATCAGATCTGGCTGAGCCAGTGTTCTTTCAGTTAGTAAATTTAATCTTAGTTAAAGTTAAAGTTAGTTATCTAGGATTGGTCAAAGTTAAATTTAAAGTTAGCAGCTTAAATTAAATTAAAGTTACAGTTAGTTATTCAATGCTAATTTCAGTTAAAGTTGAAGTTAAAGTTACCGTTCAACTTATCAACTTGGAACCAAGTTGCCCTCATACTGAGTTTTTTTCATTAAAATTTTGGTTAGTGTTGTACTGAAAGTCGCTTATTTATATATTGTAAAAAAATCATGTTTTAAATAAATATAAAGCCAAACTCAGGTATTTTTTAGATTACAGAAAAAAAATAAATATAATATATTTAAAATTAAATATAGTTAATCTTTAAAAAAGTTCTCATTTCTAATGATTTGTCCATTTTATTTTTTTGCAAGTTAAATATTTTAACAAATAGTTACTCTGCATTGATAACCAATCAAATTTGATGAACAATCATCAATTATATGGTATTAATAATTTTATTAAGTTTTCAAGAATAATGTAAATGTAAGGCATTAAATGTAGTCATAAATTTTAAAATTTGCATGTACACATAAACATTTCTGCTCAGATTCAATTCATAAATTCCATGTTACAAGTTATACATAGCCAAGGTTTTTTTTTATTAAGTTATTGATTTACTGAACGAGTTAAAGCTAAATTAGTTATATATTTTAATCATCTGTTTAGTAACTTTTAAGTTAAAGTGACACTTAGAAATAAATGAAAGACGTTTTTTTCTGTTAATTTAAGCAAAATAAACAGTCAATTAGTTGATAAAATCAAAAATTAAATATTCACCTGACTCACACAAAGGATTTCCAAATTTCTGTCCACAACACTCAAGGACCATCGTTTCTCATTATTCTCAAAAACTCTGACATTTAATATTTTTCTAACACTGTGTTTACAAAATTTCTAAATTTATTAAAAATACAGCATAGTATATCATGAAATTCTATCAATTAGTCATGTAATTCGTGAATTAAGAACGTTTTTTCATCTTATAAAAAGTAGACAAATTATTGAATAAATAATTTGATAAAACTAATATTATGGAATAATTAACAATTATTGAGAAAAAAATAAACATCGTGGAATAATTAACATTGATTGAGAAAATTAGAATAAATTTAAAGTTGATACATCAAAATCGTACATGTATTCAATATCCTTTGGAGTGTCTTCTCTAGAAATGCCAATAAGGACACACAATCCTTGACCTATTGTGCTCACCAACACGTTATCAACTGGAAAAAATCAATTTCTGTTGAATACAATTGAAGAATCAGGTCAAATATTGTTTAAATTTAGGCAAATCGAATTTAGAGTCACTTAAGATGATATAACTGTCAAGATGCCTAATTTAGCTGATGCTAATAGAAATCTAAGCCAAGCAACATGCGTTGCATGGGTTCATGTAAATTCACATGTACTGTGTGTGTTTGTTCATGATACCTCTGAGAATAATAATAATAATAAATTCTACTAAGTATACGATGAGTGCATTTAATGCCGTTACTTAAAAACAAAGTCACAAAAACAAATTATGATTTGAGGACTATTAATTTAAGGTGAGTTAGTAAATCGCATTGTATATAGGATTTATGTATTAAAAACTCCATCAAATGTTTGGAAAATTTAAAAACAGTGCAATTTTAATATTTAATAACATTTATTATTAAATTTTATTTCTTGCTCAAATTAACACATTTAGAACATCAAAATAGTGCTACTGTTTGCCATTTTGATTTTTAATTTTTCATACCGAGCCCTGAAGATTTGTTTTTTCAAGAAATTTTATTAAATTTAAATTAAATATTATTAAATTTAAAGATTTATCGCGAGTTTGGAAATTTCTCAAAAAGTCTGACACAATAAGATATTTATTTCTGAGTAACTGGGTTTTTGCAAGTTATTATACGACGTGTCTTATAGTTTGTTTGCCTCAATAAAACTGCTGGTTGTAAAGATTTATAGACTCTTATGTTATATTCTTGGACTAGTTACTGTTTAAACTTTAGTCCTCAAGACAAGAGGCTGAAGATAATATATCAGTGGTGTGGTACTTGATACTTGTACTTGAGTACTACTCGAGTACCAATTTTAAGTACTTGTACTTGAAACCAAAGTAATTGTACATTATTCAACATTATAACAAAATGTATTGAGCATAAATTTACCTGCGATATAGCTTTGGCTGGATTTGTTTTTTGTAAATAAATCTGGCTCCAGAAAAGTTAAATTCGGTACATCCCTAGTGACAATATAATTTCCAAACTGATTTTTGAAAGTGAAAAAAAAGGCCTGCAAATTAACATCAACAAAACAGAGTGCATCATTATCAGTAAAAGCAAAACCGCCCGATCCACTCCATAATCATTAATGGCAAACAGATGAAACAAGTCAACAGCTTCAATTATCTCGGAAGTCTGATAACCTCCGGTTGTAAATGTGATGTGGATATCAAACGAAGGATAGCTATAGCAAAATATGCATATTCTAAAATTAAAAACACCCTCACCAACAGTAAAATTAGATTATCAACAAAATTTAAACTGTAAGAGTCAGTGTCACACTTTTCCTTTGCTCACATACGGCTCTGAGTCCTGGACAATTTCTAAAGAAATGGAAAAATGGTGCTGAGATGTGGTTTTTGAGAAAAATTATGGAAATTAGTTGGACCTCTCATACCTTCAATACGGATGTATTAAAACAGTTTGGTTATGAAAAGAGGAAATTACTACAAATAATCTGACAAAGGCAGTTAAAGTTTTTCGTTCATATTATGCGGAAGGAATGAATGGAAAATTTAAAAAATACTGGAAAGATTGCAAGGAGAATTAAATTTGTGAAGTCCTGTCAAATTTCCTGTCCTTTTTCAAATTATTATTGTTGAATATCACTACATTTCAACAGCTACAAAGTGTTAAATATCGAGTTTTGTGGAGGTCGATGGTCGCCAATGTCCTGAAAGGATAAGGCACAAGAAAGAAAAAGATTTTGCTTTCCCAAACTTTAATCCTAACCCTAACAGGCCTAATCCTGACACATTGTAAATTTTAATAATCTAAAATTTTCAAAGTGCATATTCTCCTAATTAATTTGAGTTCACATTTCATTTCACTTTATTTTAATAGACTCACTTCCAGGCTTTTTTCACAAAATTAATTCCATGCATAGACAGAAAAGTATAAGCATACTGGTAAACTTGGAGACCACAATCTGGTTTTCCCAGCAATATTTATTCATAATCAACAGCTTAAAAAGACACATAAGCTTCTCTCACGGTGCAACTAATAATTAAACTAAATAGAGGTTCTTGTTCGTTGCCTAGGGACCTTACAGTGTACATTACTGCCATTATACTCGCAAATGGGCTGTTTAAATGTTATTTAATGTTTAAATGGTTCACGTTATGTGAAATGTTATAGCTCAATTCCTATACCTACTTTAATGTTCAACCAGGTTGTGCTTTTATAATTATTATATCTCAACTTATGAAATTATAAAATAACCATATTTAAACCTCAACTTATATACCTTACTTATATGACTTAGTTATCAATAAATCAATTTTCGTTTAGCGTCCAGAGACCCAGTTCTCCGAGGTAAAGCGTTGTTTTCTTTGCCATCAATTTTTTGTGCCACATTAGACGATCAGTTGTATCCATTTCATATAAATTTAGAGCTTTCATGTCTTCATGTCTTGCTCGATTGTTTGCGACCAGGACTTCTTTGGACGGCCTTTGGGACGTGTGCCAGGTACTTCAACATTTGCAAAAAAAGTTATGACACTGTTTCCACTTCGTTTGACATGACCAAACCACAGCAGACGGTGTTGCCGGTACTCGTTTCCAACCGTTGTGCCCTAACCGAGAAACTTAGTATTTGTATACATTCCCGTCACAAGTCTGGAATGAGTTGTCGACATAGACTCCACCTGATTGCTTCACAGGGAACTCGAACTATATGACTTAGTTAAACCCATGGATAAACCTCAATAGATATAATACACCTAGATATACTCAACAGGTTCAATTTACAAAAATTATATTTTCGTGTTGTATTATTTATTAATTTGGGTTAAAATTAAACTTATAATATAAGCCATAGGGCCATTTGATTATATAGAATATACCTGATAACATATATAATATATACTCTATAGTCTATATATGTGTGTAGGGCAAACTTGATTTTTAAATAAATTTTGAGAATACTGCTTCATTTTACCAGCTAATAAGGAGCTTATGTGTCGATTTAGTAATTTAAACTGTTGACTGTAAATAAATATTGCTAGAAAAAACACTTTGTGGTCTCCGAGTTTGCCAGGTATACTTTGTCGGGTAAAACGTGAGATCGGTACTCCTATATATCGTCCATGTTTACAAACTATAGCAATGTACTTTAAATAAACGATAAATCTATCGCGCGTGCGGGCCGCACGCCGACCGTGAACTTGTTAGACTGCTATAAGGCGTGCGTACGAAAAATATGTTCAAAAATTATTTTTTATGCCGAATATTATTTTAAAAAGTATTTGTAAAAATTTCCGTTACTTACAATTGAAAATAAATTAAAAAAAAAATTTTTTTTAAATAAATTTTTATTTGCGCGTCGTAATACTATTATTTATTATCTTTGGCAAGAGTTCATTTTCCTTCTTCTTTCAGTTGTGAGCGGTGAGGCTTTGAAGATTCGCTTGATTTTTATTGTTTTGTTTGATATAATTTAATTAAATAAAATAAAATTTGTTATTTTATCACTCTAATTTGAAAAAATGAGTTCTGAGTCATAAAGTTAGGAGATGGATTTGTGAATGTGGAAAAAGCCGTTGATGTGATAGAAAGTATCCTTGTTGTGTGGTTGCACTGCAGCAGTTTATGTGGCATACTGCAAAAATCGGAAAGTAGTAATAAAATTTAAATTGAAATATTTAATAATGATTAGTGATAATAAAATTTTGTTTATTGTTGTATGTTGCAAGTGATAATAATACTTTAAAAAATTAAAATGAAGTTTTTAATAATGATTAATGGTAATTAAATTTTGTTTATTAATAGTTATCTGAAGAAACAGCCAAAAACTGTGTTCAGACGGATTGCATAGCATCAATTAACGATGTTAAAGAAATAATTGATCCAAGATGCACAGATGACCGTGCTAATATGTCCACCTTGAAACAATACTTTTCCAATGAAGCATGGACAAAATTAGAAAATAAGATGTGGTCAATTGGACAAAATTTGTATGTTTGTGTTGTTTGTAGACATCACTCTGGAAGAGACAACCAAACTCGTACTTCGGGGGTGCAGTGTGATGGCTGCGTAAATTCGTACCACTCACTATTCATGTGTTGAAATGAAAAGGCTACCAAAAGGGACGTGGTTTTGTCGACAGTGTTGATATAACAATCTTGGGTCTTTTGGTAACTGTTTCGTCTTAACACATGAACAATGTACCCGTGTGCATTACTGTGTAAATATGTGTGTTTGTCTGTGTGTGTTACTATACGACACTTGATGCAATAAATTTTTTATTTTAAAAATTGTTATTCCATAACAAAAATGCTTTATATTGTCTTAATAAACGTCAAATTTTGCGCTTTGACTGCGTCCTGTATCGTCAAAATAGCGCCAACTTTGCTGTACAGACTTCAGCCATCTCAACGTCGAATTCGTCGTGCGAATCTCACGCTTTTCACCGTCTAAGCGTCGTATTCGCCCACTCGTGATTCGCACGCCTCATAACATTTCGACGTGCGGGTTCCTCACGATATATAATTTCGAACGTCGTATTTGCCCGTTTGTGATTCACACGCCTTATAGCATCTCAAAGTCGACGTGCAGGTTTCTCAAGATTTATGATTTTAAACGTCGTATTCGCCCGTTCGTGATTCGCACACCTTATACAAGCATCTCAACGTCGAATTCGGCTTGCGGGTTAGGGTTATTTTTTTATTTTCATCTTAACGTCGAATTCGTAGTGCTAGTCTCACGCTTTACACCTTTCAAATGTATTCGCCCGCTCGTGATTCGCACGTCTTATAGCATCTTAACGTCGAATTCGACGTGCAGATGTCTCACGATATATAATTTCAAGCGTCGTATTTACCCGCGAATCGCACGCCTTATAGCATCTCAACGTCGAATTCGCCGTGCGGCCTCACGCCTTATAGCATTAACACGTACAATTCGCCGTGCGGATTTTTCACGCCTTATAGCATCTCAACAGCGTATTCGCCGTGCGAACCCGCACGCCTTATAGCATCTCTGCGGCGTATTCGCCGTGCGATTCCGCACGCCTTATGGCACTGACCTTAAATAAATTGACTCCGCCCGTGTTGAATTGAAAATAATTTAATTAGGTAAGTTTTTTAGATCATTACTTGTCAAATAGTTGAAATAGTGAACATTAAATAAAAAAAAGTTAAAATATGAGTAAATTTCTGTTTTGATAATGATAACAATCAATGGCTTATGGAGTGGTTAGGGTTAGGGCCTCCCTTTTTAACAAAATTTTTAATCATTTCACAAATATGGAGTGGTTAAAATTTTCAATCATTTGTGAAATGATTGAAAATTTTGTTTAACCCTGTTAACCACTCCATAAGCAATTGATATTTGACAATCTACAGTAATGATTCTAACTGAACAACCAACCTGTAACACTGGCATTGGTAACTCGCTGGATGATTGCCCTCATTCTATCTTTTTTTTCTGCAAGTCACTGCTACTATATATATTATAATTTATTATAATTATTTTTATAAATGGCAAAACTTACTTTACTAAAATTTTCAATCTATGGCCAAGGCAATTTAAATTGGAGATAACAAGTAAAAGTGAGAGTACTGTCAATGGGTAAATATGTTTAAAAGTGAATTGTTATTAAGACTTGAGACTGACCTGGACTCAGGGGATGCCGATCAAAATCATGGATTGGATACATATATCCATGATCAAAAGAACTAAATATGATGAAATAATATGCAAATCCATGCAGTAAAGTAAAACAATTAAAAAACAATCAAAAGAAAAAATTTTTGAAGAATGAATAAAAATTATAAATAAGCAATAAAAGTATTAAGATTATAATATCTTGATGAATAATTTATTGTTTATGGAGGCTAAAGAATGACACTAGACCATTGAATTATATAATTATATATAATTCCATGCACCAGACCATACGCACCCACCCACCATGTGCGTGGGTGCGTTCAAGGGCCAATATGAGTATTCTACCATTATATATATATATATATATATATATATATATATATAAAATATATAATATTATATATATAATATATACAATATTCTATAAATATATAATATATATATGTTGGTAATAGACCATAATTTTTACAATATTCTATAAATTCTACCGAATGTCTGGCGTTAATATGTTTGTAGTTCATTTTTTCAATTTTTCTCACTAAAGTTTTTTGGTGAACGTTTAGTTTATTAATATTCAAAATAAACTTATTTTCCGAACTCATGCTGCAAATAAGGCCATATTTCGATTCCGAATGAATCATCATCAGTGGTTTCTGCTGTTTATATAGGGAAATATTGACTTTGTCAAAATGGAGATTGACTTTGTCAAAGTGAACTTAGATGGTAATTAGGTGTCAGGTTTTTTTATTGGCTGGTCGTCTTCTTTGGTCTCCTTTTCTTCATCGATAGCATCATATTCTTCTTTGTCACTATTTACAATGCCAGTTTTTATTACTTCTTTGTTTTCGTTGTTGGTTAAGCCGGGTTGGAAGTGAGGTTGTCATTTTTTGTTGTATATTTATTTATGGTCTATTGATGTCAATTAATCAATCACTATTAGCCGTGAAAACCTCGACAGTAACACAAAAGTAATATACCAGAACAGCAACTACAGCATCTTAAAATTGCAGAAGCAGTCCTAATTGACATCAATAAATCAAAAATAAATATACAACAAAAAATGACAACCTCACTTCCAACCCGGCGCTTAACCAACAACAAAAACAAAAAAGTAATAAAAACTAGCATTGTAAATAGTGACAAAGAAGAATATGATGCTATCGATGAAGAAAAGGTGACCAAAGAAGACGACCAGCCAATAAAGAAACCTGACACCTAATTTCCATTTAAGTTCACTTTGACAAAGTCAATCTCCATTTTGACAAAGTCAATATTTCCCTATATAAACATCAGAAAGCACTGATGATGATTCATTCGGAATCGAAATATGGCCTTATTTGCAGCATGAGTTCGGAAAATAAGTTTATTTTGAATTTTAATAAACTAAACGTTCACCAAAAAACTTTAGTGAGAAAAAATGAAAAACGAACTACAAACATATTAACGCCAAACATTCGGTAGAATTTATAGAATATTGTAAATATATATATATATATATATATATATATATATATATATATATATATATATATATATATTTCATTTTTATTTTTTCCTCTGTTAGTTGTTTCCAGCCGAACAGGCCAAAATGACTTGTTGCCATCTGTTTCTGTCTTTCGCAAACTCTTCTAGTGTTACTCCAGCTCTCCCAGTAGTTCTCCAGTATAGTTCTCAGCTCTTTCTAAATTTCGGCTTAGACACTTGTTTCATCTCGTTTTAGAACTGATTTTAATTCTTTTCCCCTCTGGTTGATACTTCCAGATTTTCTTAGGTGTTCTGAATTCCTCCATCCTCACATCATCATATGTCCTGCCTACTTCAATCTACTCTTTTTAATAACATCACTAATATTCATTTGTTCTGTTCTTTTCCTGATTTCTTCATTTGTGAAATGATTTGCATAGCCAATTCGCATCATTCTTCTGATTTACATGTTCTCGCAGACATCCACATTTTTTTTCTTGCTAATGCTCACGACTCAGCCCCCATATACCTTTTCAACGCTCTCCTCTTCAATCCCTCCTCTATTCTATCTGCCTAGTTAGTATGACTTCCTAAATAGAAAAATTCTGATACGGTTTCTATTTCTTCTCCACTCACTTTCACCTGATTGTGATTATCTTTGTGATTGGCATTACCTTTGTTTTTTTGATGTTTATATTCATACCTAATTTAATTTTGAACTTTCATGTTGTAAAACGTCAGTTAGCTCCATTATCTTCAGAAGACATTCAGCCATTAAGTATGTGTCATCTGCGTATTCTGTTTTTTTCAAGTTTCTCGAGCTTTTCCAGTCTTTTCAGTTTGTTGTTGAGAATGATGTTAAATAAGATCAGTGATAGAATGCAACTTTGTCTGAAACCAGTTTCTATCTAGAACCATTCAGATTCTTCCCCTTCCAATCTCATATTTGCCAGGCTACTTAAGCGACTGCCAGAGTGCTTCGACATTTTGTGCAGACCTTTCTATGCTGGGCGACGTCCAAGCCGTTATTCATCATAGGATAATTACTTTTCATTTCGATTGGTGGTCGTTTATTCCAAGCGGTGACCTGAAAATTTAGCCAGCAAATTTAGCTGTTGTTGCCACTCTCCTGCCGCTTTGAAGCGCAGGTTAGATTTGAGGGGAGATTATATATATTATATGTCGGAAATTTTAAAATGAAACTGGTGGTGTTGAGGCAATCTCCTCTTCTATTTTTCTCAGGGAATTTTTTTTATGGTCCGACAATAATTTTTGTGTATATTTTTATCGTGAGTTTGACCAGTCCTGTGTGGCACTGGGCTTTTTCGAATTATATGATTTTACTGAGTAACACATGAACGCGTAAAAATATTCGATAAAAATTTTATTAATCGACGGAAGTAAATGAAAAGGAATTGAACTAAATGAACTCTATAATAATGTAAAATGTCAATGAACAAACTAGAATACAGGAATTAGAACTTCTTCTTGTTGGGTCTTCGACTTGGGATATGTTTCTTGCCGTTTAATCGTACAACCTCGACGTGTGTATCCGATGGTGATGTCGATACAACTCCGAGAAATAAATAAAATGAATGCGGAAAAATTACAAAAAT